CACCATCTCACTGTCTCTAACTCGACCTCCCCTCGATCGCTACCCAAGACAGCGTTGCTCAGCTGATGTCATGCAATGAACTTTTAAAGCCAGCCACGGAATGCTTCGGAGTCCTCGATGGCCATAGTGAGCGTGATGGAACTCGCCTTCTCTCTAATTAGCGCTCCAGTTAGCGTAAGGTTTTTAGCATGATAACAAGTAAAGCATTCCAGGAAACGTCCGTTTATTTGACTGTCTGTCGAGCCACAAGCAATTTACTCTGAGCAGCTAATCGGATGCATTCCACTCTATCTTCCACGGATCTAGCTACAGTATCTACACACATAGATAGTGAGGTCCTCTTGGCCAATCGGAGGCCAGGATGATGCTCGGTAAGCCAATGGCAGAGCAGCTATGAGTATGTTGCGTTCAGGAAACTCAGAGCTGTGTAAACCAGTGTGGTGGTTGCTGTTGCCGTTTCCGAACGAAGCAGTAGAGGTCGCTGTTGGATTAGACTTCGTTGTAGTGAATCTCTTCGCGAGGCAAGAGCAGAGAAAAACATTTCATATAACGCAACAGGGTTTGTTTTCGTTGTATGGGGGGCAGGAGAGTGGGAATGGTGTTAATGCATGAAGATTTTTTCACACTCGGGGGTATTTTCGCCCATGTAGGTTTCGTTGTAGAGGAGTTTCACTGTATTCAACAGTGAAACCAAATTTATTTGTTTTGTCTTTTAAAATTTAAATGCTCATCAAATCCTCTACTATGCTAGTCGTTTTACCATGTCTGCGAGCTGCACATTGAATCTGGATGCAGTTATAACTGTAAGCAGGTGAACGCCCAATTGATACACGTACGCATGCACACACACGCACACGCAATGCCAAGTGAATTACAAAACTGAAAAACCTCGGTCTATGATAGTGTATTGTCCTGTGTAGAGCATACCGAACCGATTTTTGCCCCATCACCAATGAATACAACATTGTGTTTACAGTGAACCGTGTCAGGGAGATCACAGACTCTCACAGAAAGGAACCTGTTTTCCAGACATTCTCTGTAGATTACAGGTATGGTTGTCACTCAACACTAATACCACCGCAGTCAAAAAGTACAACGGTTCAATGTTTGTGTGTTTATGTATGCACAAATACAGGAGGTGATTTATGAGATAGAGTTGACAAACCTTTCGGGCAGTCATCCAAACAGAACCGATATATGTGACTTGCTGTTTGAGTTGGTGTCTCAGAGGTTCTCCAGTTCATTGAGCTCAGCTTCAGCACATCTCAGCTGTGAACACACACTGAACATGTGGAACAGGTACGCAACAAACTCACCATGCAGTTTCGCGCAATCCTCAAGTTTGTCACCTTTGGAAACCTTGATGTGTGTCTGTGTGTCACAGAATAATGCTGGCTCTCCCATCGGTGTCATTTGTTAAAGTAAAGGCTGAAGGAGACAGGATGTATCTTGACTGTAAAAAGCTGATACAACATGTCAACAATCATCAGGTGTGCTTTAGTGTAATGTCTGATAACATCCAAACAACTATTTATGACATACTGGGGTAACTCAGGGATCCACGAGTTTCATAGTCATCCATCCACCACAGAGGTGTTTGTGCACAGATTTTATTTCAGTTTATATCAGTTTTATTTACATCACCGTAAAGTTTGTTTTGTAAGGGTCTTCAAGAGCACAACATAGATCAATTTTCAAAATTATTTTGGCTTTTATGTATAGTAATGAGAAAAGATTGATTCTTTTCAGTTTTATTTGAACTGCCGATACTCCAAGTGCAGGAATGTGCATTTATGGATGGCCTTCGGAGCAGGTTACAGACAACACCTGCAATGCATGATATTGATAATATTTTTAATCTCATTAACTCATTTAGCTACAATATCTCACAAAAGTACGTATACACCTCACATTAAGTAAATATTTTTTGAAATGTTTTTTCAAGGGAACATACGAAAGAAATGACACTTTGCTACAATGTAAATTAGTCCGTGTAGACATTGCATAATGGTCTAAATTTACTGTACCTTTAATACACTGATCCCTCACTTTTCGCCGTTAATGGGGACCGGGGCCCTGCCACGATAAGTGAACAACCGCGAAGGAGGGTTTGCTCCCCCTAGGAATTTTTGTGTAAGGGTATGTGGGTACCAGCATCTTTAAAATATTTAAACAGCATTTAAACTATACCTCACTAAATCTTTAATTATAAAAACACTTAGACAGTAATTAACATTCATCATCATTGCCTTCTGACAGAGGCGAAGAGACTTGTGTCACTCTCACTTTATGCTCTGACAGTGTAGCCGCCGTTAGCCTCCGGCTAGCTCCTGGCCAGCTATCCTCACGCAGCCGATGTCTTTATGATAATTAATCGGTATTGACGAGGAGGAGGCGAAGAGAGACGTGCTGCTGCTTTTGGAAAAGCCCAATCTCTCTCTCCTCTCGCTCTCTCTCTCTCTCTCTCTCTCTCTCTCTCTCTCTCTCTCTCTCTCTCTCTCTCTCTCTCTCTCTCTCTCTCTGCCACGCAGTAGCAAACACAACAGAAGAGAGAGTATGCCAGAGAGGCAGGCGAACGATCAGATAGTCAACAGCATGACGAGACACAAGGGAAGGTGCTAGGCGGGGCTGCGAAGATGCGCAGCCAATCAGCTCATGGGATAAATCCACTCGTGCTGTCAATGAATTCAGAGATGAAAGTCCTCCGGAATTCCGGGTTTTTCAAATTTTTATGAAAATCTGTGCGGAGAATTGAGGAATATTTGCTGAAAATTGATCCGGATATTAGTTGACAACATTGAACGAAGACGCGTTTGAGTTCGTTGTTTTGCTTTCACGAGCGTAGCCATGTTGAGACACTAACACTAGTAACAGTAGAGATTTTCGTCTCTTTATCAACACATTTGCTAAACCCCAGTGGAA